AGTTACACGCATTTTTTACCGACTACAAAATGAGAGGGTACTTAGGTTTTTTTTGTGCGTTAGTGGTATCTTTATCGATTCCTGTAATTCGATTTTTATAATTATTGTTTTTTAATGAATAAGTTATTAATATAAAGGCATTATTTAAAATCCACCAATAAGGGTGAAATAATTACTTTTAAGTGATGCTAAAGTCGATGTAACTTTTTATATTACTTAATAACAATATGTGTGGAAAATAGGGTAAAAAGTTAAAAATTTGAATTCTGCTGCTTTCACATAGTTCTTTTACTAAATTATTCCACTTCTAAGAGCTGCAGTGCGATGGTAGAGGTTGAGTTCGCTTGTTTGTATGTTTGTTTGAACACACTAACTGTGGGAATTATGAGTAAATTTCTTGGTTATACATACAACTATGGTAAAATAGGAATAATTTATCTAATAAACTCTTCAGTTTGTTGTTCCTTGTTTGCTGTAGGCAAGTAGACAGAGAGAATTTATAAAATAGTCGTGACGTACCCTCGCTTAGCTTTGGTGCATCTCTAACCTTGAATGTTTTAGAAACACATAAAACACAAATACCCAAAGAAAACTTCTTTTTTATTCACCAGGAACTTTTGCAGGTGATGCAATATAACCACCCCAACGTGCGTTCACCTTGTCGTGGTGGGGGGGCTCAGTAGTGCCCGGCAATCCAACCGGGCGCGAAGCTAAGAAACGCACAGGGAGGTTGCCCACTTCGGTGGGCGGTGGGAGGTGGCCCTCTTCGGGGGGCGGTGTGCCATGCGGGTTGCTCCTGGTACTTCTCTGATAGCAGAGTGGACTGTGGAGCAACCCCATGGTTGTGGTGGTCTGCTTCGGCAGACCTGCCGTCGGGGCGTCGTGGTTGAATGCGTAAGCGATCCTGCGACGCCCCATTAGGACGGGGGAAGGTTTTGTTGGGTTTTAGTGGGTAGTACTGGCTGTATTACGCCGGTGAGTCCCACACGTCGTGCGTAAATGCATTTCCCAACGTTAAAAAAAAAAAAAAAAAAAGGTGATGCAATATAACCTACCAGTTTCATCACAATTAGATCAATGAATTAGCAGCGTATAGAGAACAAATATAAGAACATAACATTCATTTTTATTTATATAAAAACTTTTTAACAAAAAAATAAAAACCGACTTCAAACAAAAGCACTAAAAAGTAAAAAATAACTGATTGGTAGTTTTCATTTATTATACATACCTAATCAAATATTTTCGAAGTCGGTGTGCTTTGGCTAAGTAATTAAAGCCTACCTATTAAATACATACCTAATCAAATATTTTCGAAATCGGTGCCAGCCCATACAAAGCAAAGCACACCGACTTCGAAAATATTTGATTAGGTATGTATAGTAAATGAAAACTACCAATCAGTTATTTTTTACTTTTTAGTGCTTTTGTTTGAAGTCGGTTTTTATTTTTTTGTTAAAAAGTTTTTATTTTTCCCTTTTTAGTGTAGACAGTAGTAGCAAAGTAAGGATTCTAACGTGATAGGCTTGTCAAATCAAACAAAATAAGCCCAAACTCAAAGTATCTACTATTAGCCGTTGAAGAGTTCCACCTATCCACCTTCTGGCCTTGCCATCAGATCAGGTCAACAACACCGAACCACTGTACTCTATCAACGGAAATAGAAATACTTGCAAAGTTTCAAGTCATTATGACAATTAGAAGTAGGTTAAATTCATCATTAGTTGTTTTTCCACCCTTAGGGGTGGTATTTTTTTTTTTGAAATTTAAATGGGACCAATCTGGAAGTATACCCTTTCAAACAAAACAAAAATTGTCCAAATCGGTTAATAAATGACGGAGTTCTGAGGTAACAAACATAAAAAAAAAAGAAAAAAAAACATACAGTCGAATTGAGAACCTCCTCCTTTTTGAAGTCGGTTGATAAAAAATTAGCGACTCACCAGGTTCGTTCCTAGGTTGCTTCCCCATACAAACTTTCACCCCCATTTTCACCCCCTTAAGTGACAATTTCTGGGATAACAACTATCCTATGTCCTTCCCAGGGTCTCAAACTATCTTCTTACCAAATTTTATCTAAATCGGGTCAGTAGTTTCGGAGCCTACTCAATACAAACAAACAATTTTTTTTTCTCTTATAATATTAGAATAGATTATTCATATCCATCTTCATTTGGCTATCCACTATCAAAAGGCTGGACAGTAAAAAGGCACCGGGTTACGCTCTGATAACTAAAGAAGTATTGCGGGAACTACCGAGAAAGGCTATTGTCTTCATCACGATCATTTTCAACGCCATACTACGAATAGGGTACTTCCCGAGTGCGTGGAAAGTCTCGGAAATTATCATGATTTACAAGGCTGAAAAATTAATGACCGAAAAAACATCTTATCGTCCAATCAGTCTGTTACCTACTCCATCCAAGGTACTGGAGAAGACAATACTTCGCAGAATTATGCCAAGTCTCTTGGAGCGCAAAGTGATACCAGATCACCAATTCGGCTTTAGAGAACACCATGGCACAGTGGAACAAGCCTACAGAGTATGTGACGCTATAAGAAAGTCCTTAGAACAAAGGGAATACTGCTAGACAGCGTTCTTGGATATCCAGCAGGCATTCGATAAGGTTTGGCACAAAGGTCTACCTATGTAAGATCAAGCAGAATATTTCCCACTCTTACTTTTCAATATTCAAATCTTACCTCGATGATCGCATATTTTATGTGAAAGAAGGCGACGCCACTTCCGAGTTCCAAGAAATTTACGCCGGGGTGCCACAAGGATCTGTTCTCGGCCCCATGCTCTACACGTTGTACACTGCTGACCTACCGCTAACGCCAGGGACAACCACAGCTACATTTGCAGACGACACCGCTATGTTAGCAAGTAATAAAGGTCCAAGACTGGCATCAGAGAACTTGCAGAAAGGCCTTAACGAAGTAAATGAGTGGCTACAAAAATGGAACTTAAAGGCTAGTACTGCAAAGTCAGTACAGGTGACATTTACCCTTAAAAAAAGGAGACAGCCCACCTGTAAAGTTGGGCCAACATACTTTACCGCACAGCGACCATGTAAGATATCTTGGCTTACATATTCATCGTAGACTAACCTGGAGGCAACACATCAAATGTAAAAAGTAGGAGCTTCAAATATAATACAACAGCCTATACTGGATGCCAGGAAGGAACTCGAGACTCTCTTTGGACAACAAACTACTGATATATAAAGTCATCCTAAAGCCCACTTGGACATATGGTCTGCAACTATGGGGCAGCGCAAGCGATTCCAACATAAATATATCCCAGCGCCAACACAACAAAATCCTAAGAACAATTGCAAAAGTACCATGGTACATAACCAACGATGAAGTTCACAAGCACCTTGAAATGAGAACAATCAAAGAGGAAATTCGGAGTTTAGCAGCTAAATACAAAGAACGGTTAATTCGCCACCCTAACGAACTTGCTCGCCAGCTCACCATGGACCACTATGTGAGACGAATAAAACGTCATCATATTCTAGAGCTAGAGGACCGACAGTATCTCTGGGCAGCAGATGAGTAGATGCTTCCAATAGAAAGTCGCTCCATATGACAGCATCACAGAACAGATTTGCTCATAGTCCTAGGGCTGATTGTAAATACACTCCAAGAAAAAAAATCTTCATTCGCATTATAACCTGTGCAGTGAATGCTACGCTGGTCAATTACATGACAATGTAAATTTAAGAAAGGACAACACATAAGTATCAATATGAATATTATAAACAACCATTTTATCCGTTAAACTATTTTCATTGTCCGACAAATATTTCAATTTTGTTTTAAATATATTATTGTTATAAATTCAACATGTAAACTACGTGATTTCTTTTAAACAAAAACTGACAAATCTTTTTTTCAAATCACCAAATGATAATGTTTACATGTCAATGTACCGAATGATAAAGAAACAACCTCATTTGTATAAGATATATAAGATAATTATAAAATCACAGTTACTGAATAATACCCAATAGCAACCCAGAGTTGGGAAGTTGGCAATAATTTAAGAAATTGTTTCATAATTGCCATTCTTAAAAACTTGAAATTTATTTTAAATTATTTTTGCTTATTAGCATTATAGATAAGAGCTCAAGTTAAAATTTACTCAATGAGCACCATACAAAATTACCTTAAGTGTAATAGAATATGGTGGTATACCTATCTATTAAAGAAAAAAATGTACTCTATAGATTATAGTGATTGATTATTATGATATTACATACACAAAAATACACTACTTTGTACAATACACTTTTCATTTATTGAAGTTGGCGAGCAATAATTTCATGTCCACTAAACAGCCATTTTCTGATTTTGAATTCATAAAACAGACAGACAAGAAAACAGGTATGATATGATTAATATACTTTGACTATTTGATTATAATGTCAGAAAAGAGAAAATGATTTTTATTATAAATTTGTAAATATAGGATAGGTGTGAACAATGTGTTAAATTAACATTTACATAGAATACAGTAAAGTTCTTGAAATATAATTAACCTTTTGAGGTGAACTTTAAGTTAGTCAAGTTTTATTGGAAAAATACTCAGTATTGAATGTAAAATAATATATAACTTTTAGTTTTCCTAATAAATAACAAGTTTTTAAAAAAAAAACAATTTTACTTTAAGAGTAAATCATGTTTAACAGGTAGAAACACAATTTAAACTATATTAATTATGTTTTAATTTTTATCACAATACAAATATTGAAATACAAACAGCATCAAAAATGTCAATTACCCACATATACATAAATTTAAGTAATATTTTTAATTAGACTTAAAAATCAATGCATTGCTTTCTAATTTATCAAGTTAATTAAAATAGCATCACTATCAGCTAGGATAATTGTAGGTCATTTGAATTCGCGCCAGAAAGACTTAAATGTTCTATCATCGAAATAGTTTTGGCTCCTGTACAAAACACGATGAATATCAATCAAAATACTTACGCGAAATCTCGATAAGATCAGACCCATTTTCTTTCCAGGCGGCTAATTTATGTATATAAATGCAAATTGTCCTCTTTACACACTTATTTAGGATTCTTTTTCCAAATCACGATCCAAAAATAACTTTTTCATAACACATACGTTATTTTGATGACGAATATGTAACCTACAACGCCGACTAATATAAGTTTTAAATAATTTTTACAATTTAATGCACCTTAGATGAACTATCAGATCACATTTCCGATATAAATATTATAAACTGAAACTAGAATTGTAATAAGAAATCATGAAACAAATAAGACGCGCGAAGCCTATCGCCTTAATAAAACAGAACTCGTTTATTCACCCTCAATAGTCAATTCTTTACAAAATATGTCATTCATGCTTCAAATAATTCTCAACCTTACCATAGACAACTATTTTACTTTTGTTTCTCTTAAAACGACTTAGGTACTGCACCGCACAGACATTTTTGTATAAAACTAGCTGTACACGTGCACTTTGTAGCATGTGTCTTGTCATCAATAGTATAGCTCATTTATAAATATTCTGTAAAATACGTATCCTCTATTTACTTGAGTGATAGTTTTTTATTCTGATAAAAATCTAACCAACATAAACATTTATACACATTAAAGTGAGAAAAGTATCGCATAATCGTGTTAATATATCCGAGCTAACATATTATCCGTCTTAATATATCCGGATTTCCATATCTGGGCTTACATTTCAGAATTTCACACATAGATAAAATCTCATCAGCCAATCTGACATTGTCGTCGTTGATGGTTTTACGCTGTATACTGGCCTGCCTCAAGGATTTTATCAGGAGCCTTTGTTGTTTAACATTTTCATCAACGACATCAGTACTACTAGTACTGATGTCGTTTAACAATTCTTAAACTTTCTTTGAGTTCGCTGATGATCTAAGCTTTTAGAAGATATGTAATTTTTTTCAGATTCTCATAAAAAGATAAAAGCATTACAGTAAAACTTTTTTAGGCTCTGGCACCTTTATGCTAATCATTTCTAAAATCATTACCACTTGTCTTACGGTGAAGTAAAACATTGAGAGGAAACCTGTATGTGTGAGAGAATCTAGGAAATTATCGAAAGACAGGTGAAATCCGCTAACGCCGCCGCCGCCAACGACCAATGACCAGCATGATGACATGATGGACTGTGGCTTGATCTCCCTCGTACTGAAGGGAAGTCCGTGCCCAGCAGTGAGACGTTAAAAAGGTGCTCAATAAAATCAAAGTTTGTTCGTAGAACAAACTAAATATATCTATACAAATTGTAAGGTTTTTTGGTGTTCTGTAATTGTAAGATAGAATATTTGTTCGAGAGATGTTATTTTTACCATAGATTAATTCCATAAAATAGTGACGGTGTATGTTTTTGTATTTTTGTTGGTTCGATTACCGGCTCTGGTAAGCTTTATAAAAAATATTTAAATGTTTTTATTAATGTTTTTTTAAAATAAGGGAATGTTTGCTTTGAGTGAAACTTGATAATTTCAATATTTGAAGTACTGTGTATTTAAAAAAAAGTCTTAGGGAGAACAATTAAATAAACTCTTTAAATATTATATTTATTAGCAATTTCTCCAATTAGCATTATGACAAGACAAGCGGGTAACATCTGTGTTCTCTTTTCCAATTTGGCGTCCATTTGAGTCGACACAGTAACACTGGCCACGACGACATTGTATGCTTCTAAAGTTACCATTTTTACAACACTGAGGGCTTTCGGTTGAAGAGTTCATCAAATTTGAGGTTATTGCACATTCTAAAAATAAATAAATTCCGTGTGAATTCTATCCATGTGAAAGGTAGGCTCTCTCGTAGGCAATTTATAGTCGCGATGATACATTTAAGAGCATTTCTCTCAAGAATTCTAACAATAATATGAAATAATATTAAAACAATTTTAAATTACTTACTACAATTCATATTGCTGTAAGAAGCAGTGTTTGGTTCTGCTGAAAAATCACCTATTTGTAGACCACGTTCGTTTATACATATTTTTCTGCAATATAATAATTATGTATATAAAATATCAAAGAAATTTTCTTATTTAGTTTACTTCTAGATTTAATTAATTCTTAAGTATTTATATTTAAAGATCATAGGTAAAATTATTATTTATATACTTGGTAAAATACGTACTGTCCATTGGAATTAATAGTCATCCTACTATGAGTTCCATCGGGCAAGCAGCTTATTGAACTAAAACCTGTAAAATAATCAACGTTGTACCCTTCTTCAATACTTTTTTGTATTAAATCTTCTCTCTCTTTAACACTGTTAAGACAAGGAGTTGTATACTCGTATGGGGGCTCAGCATCATCTCCTTGTGGAAATAGATCTAAGTCTGCATTATCTGAAAAAAATAGCACGTTGAATTTGTAGTAGTTTTTCTAGTTCATTATTTATATTTATTCCTATGACATTTACAATTATCTTTATATATTCCATTATAAAAAACGTTAAAAATATAAAAAATTATTATTAAAAAACTTATTTTCCGCTTTAACTGCAACATATTATTGTCTATGGTCTTTGGAATAATGTTTTACTCAGTTGTTCATGTTCGGTATGTAATTTTTTTCAAATAAATAAAAAATATTAGCAAAAGATAAATATCAAAATTAAAACTTACAGCACGGCAATCTAGAAATAGGCTGTTTATCTAAATCTATCGTGGTATCTCCACGGGCTTCACCAGTTATTACGTCCACACAATAACATTGTTTCCCTAAACATTGCACGGGGTTGAAATTACCATCGGAAGTACATCGTAGACCAAACACAGGGTACGGTACATCCCCTGCTATTAAATTTTGAATTTTGTGCGCCATGCGGGAACAAGCTGTTAATTATATAAAAACTTAATATTATATTATTAATATAAATATAATATTATATACTAAAAAATAAAAAAGAAAGCCCGATTGCGTAAAAAGCTTTGGTTCACTTTTAACACAAAAAATGGACATAACTACTCGCTTAGTCGCAATCGGACAAAAGAAATTATGGAGTATTTTTATTTTAAGACATTCAAACGGTATATTATATTAGTTTATGATGGTAGGTGAAACAAAACGATATTATAAGTATACATACAATATGGTTAGTCGGCGTTTAAATGGCACAATCATAGGTCGGACAACGGACTCGATGCTACATAAAATAGGTCTATGTTGAGTGCGGGGGATTGGAGTACATACGCTTTTTGAGCATTGGGAACTGATGCAGGAACTGACGAAGATTAGGTCAGGATTGTATCCACGTTTCCACCGACCACTATTAAAGGAAGTCGGTTGCTTGGGATTATGTAACAGACACAAATCGTTTGTCTCAGCCCATGTTTCGACTGCTTGTCCATCGGCATCAGAGTCAATATAGCCCCAGTTAGGGCTGCGGCTGTTGAAGTCACCGATTACAACTTTGACGGTTTGGTCGTTAAAATTTTCTGGAGGGTCAAATTGAAAACTGGTCCCAGGAGGTTTGTAGATTGATGTTATTGTACAATTGCCAATATCGATGGTGATAAGTTCAATGCCATTTTGGGTTGAACATTTGGTGGATAGGATGCTTACGCCGGGAGCAACAAACACTGCGTTACCGTGCTTCGGATGACAGATCTCGGCGATAAGCGTTAGTCCAGGAATGTGTGGCCGACTTTGGGTTTCATCTCGATGGGTCTCTTGGACGCAAAGGACATCGCATTGTGTTTTGCGGTATAGATCAGAAAGAATTTCTGATTTGCTTTCTGAGAACCCTTCGATGTTAATTGAGACTACACACAAAGTAGGTTTTGTGAGTGGACCTTGGATTGCCATCGTGGTGAAAGGATTAGCCAATCAGCGTTAATAGATTCTGATTGCCCAGGGTGCGCCGGACGTATAGGTTGTATACGTTGTATACGTCGCTCGGGGAGGCTCCTTTCGTGCACCCCCGATTCAATTATACTAAGGCTGACTGGGAGTCTTTTGCAAGTTCCGTTGACGACGCCCTCTTAAATCTTCTGCCAACCCCAGTAAATTACGACCAATTTGTCGAGACTGTACAATCCATATCCCGGAAATACATCCCAAGGGGCTGCAGGACGTCTTACATACCAGGATTGTCGACAGAGTCCATTGATCTGTTGAGCCGGTATGAATCACTTTACCAGACGGACCCATTTTCGGAGGCTACCACAGAGGCAGGAGAGCTGCTGCTATCTACAATTGGAGAAAATAGGCGAGAGAGATGGGTCAATACTGTCACTAGTATTGATATGACTCACAACAGTAAGAAGGCATGGAACACCTTGCGCAAGTTGACGAACGAGCCTTCTCGACCCTTTCCTCCAAGCCAAGTTACCGCCAATCAAGTAGCCCATCAGTTGCTTCTCAATGGCAAACCAGCAGTTCGCCCCGAAAAAGTTCCTAAACTAAAGACATGTGGCAATCCTTGTGACACTATCAGCAAGCCGCTCATCCTTGCTGATGTTGTGACAGCGATTAAAGGTCTTAAGTGCGGCAAAGCCTCTGGAGTGGATGAAATATCGGTTGAGTAGATCAAACATTTTGGCCCAGTTGCTGTGTCGTGGTTGCTGCAACTTTATAACAACTGTCTGAAATCCACTTCAATACCCCGGCTCTGGAGAAAATCTAGGATCATAGCTATTCTAAAACCAGGCAAGGCAGCAGATGACCCTAAGAACTATCGACCAATATCTCTTCTATGTCACACATATAAGCTTTTCGAGAGAATGCTGCTGAACCGACTTACGACTGCTATTGACCCTAGACTAATCCCGGAGCAAGCCGGTTTCAGGCCTATTAAGTCTTGCTGCAACCAGACCCTCAAACTCGTGCAATATATTGAGGATGGTTTCGAGGCAGGAATGGTCACAGGCGCTGTATTCGTCGACCTATCTTCAGCTTACGATACAGTTAACCTAAAACGTCTGCTGTGGAAGGTGGAGACCATGACAAATGACATGAATTTTGTCAAAATACTCCGAGAACTTCTTCACAACCGGCGTTTCCAAGTCCATCTCCTCTCAGAGAAAAGTCGTTGGAGATCACTAAAGAACGGACTACCCCAAGGTAGCGTCCTGGCTCCGCTTCTTTTTAATATATACACCAACGACCAACCATCTAGTTTAAACACGTCCCGCTTCCTCTATGCAGATGATCTTGCACTCACCTCCCAGGTCACCACTTTCGAAGAGGTCGAGGCGAACCTTTCAAATGCTCTCACTAACTTAGATCAGTATTACTCCGCAAACTCGCTGAAACCAAATCCGAGCAAAACTCAATCCTGCGCATTTCACCTTCGCAATAGAGAGGCAGGGCGAAAACTAAACATTGTCTGGGGTGAGGTGTCTATTGAACACAGTAACTTCCCCAAATACCTCGGCATTACTCTGGATAGGTCACTCACCTTTCGTAAAAACTGCGAGAACATCAAGCAGAAAGTCCATAGCCGGAATCAAATCCTGCGTCGCCTAGTCACTTCTAAGTGGGGTGCCTCGCCTGATGTTCTGCGAACTACTGGGTTGGCCGTTTCCTTCGCTGCTGGTGAATATGCGTGCCCCGTGTGGTGCCGCTCTTCCCACGCAAAACTAGTGGATACAGCACTAAACGAAACGTGTCGTATTATTACTGGCTGTTTGAAACCGACTCCGATACCAATGCTGTACCCACTGGCAGGAATTGCGCCTCCAAAAGTGCGCAGAGCAGTGGCGAGCTCCAGTGAAAGGACCAAAATGGAACAAGACACGCGACACCCCTTGCACGACAACATCCTGGTGCCACAAAGGCTAAAAAGCCGTAAAAGTTTTATGAAGTGTGTCTTACCACTTGGAGATGAACGACCACAGGCAAGATGCAGGATGTGGCGGGACAGTTATGGTCCTTTGCCAATCCCATTTGTTCCACCGTCTGAGAATCTTGCGCCTGGACATAGTTTGCCTTGGCAGACCTGGAAGTCTCTCAACAGACTCCGGACTCAGGTTGGCCGAAGCAAGGAAAACTTGTCCAGGTGGGGATTTTCAGCGGGCGGCCTGGAGTGTAGATGTGGTACTGTTCCACAAACGATGAGGCACTTACTGGCCTGCCCTGCTTGCCCTGTTACTTGCAGCTTACAGGAGCTTATGGACGCCACTGACAAAGCAACGATCGTGGCTGAGTTTTGGGCTGACTCCATTTAAAACTTGCCATCGACACGAAAAGAAGAAGAAGAAGAAGAAGATATGGTTAGTAATTTTATTTGGGATTGGGATATGGGAATTAATATAAGTCGTGGCAACCAATTTTCATGGAAGATACTGTGTGGACTATTACGTAGTGGCTACTTTATTATAAGCCCAACAATTACTTACTACATGACATATTTTGAAATATCCCTGTATACGGGACTTCTCCAAATATCCTTTCGCCATCTTCTGATTGACAAAAACAACTGAAAAATACAAAAAAAGTTTTAGAAAGCTGTATTTTGAGCTTCAAGGTATTATTTTTAGGGTTCCATAGCTACCCCCCTCCCAACTTGCGTTCACCTTGTCGTGGGGGGGGGGGGCTCAGGGTTCCATAGCTAAAGGCCCTTAGTATCTTTAAAAATAAGATAGATGTTTATTTTTAATTAAAACCAAAAATACGGAGTTGTGCGCTTCTATAGTTGTAAACATTGTGTGTCCTCTGGGAAAACTTGGTGACGAGTCAGACTCGCTCTTGTCCGCCTTAATTTAATTATTCTTACGTCTGAGAAGGAACACAGTCGAAGGTGGCATATTTTCCTTTATTGTCACAATTTGGTCTGGTTTCTAATGTTCCAGTTAGCCCTCTCGAGTGACGACTGTCATAGTCATCTTGAGCATCGTGGCATTCAGTTTTCACTGTAAAGAACGTTATTGATCGATATGTAATTGTAAAAACATACATGGAGTACAATTAATAAACAAATTCTTCATGTATAGTAAGCCTAATTGTAAATTAAGTAATTCATTTGAATCAAGAAACACGCTAAAGTAAGTACGAACCATGAGACCGTTACTTACTACGAAAAATGAATTTAAGTAATATATATATATATATATATATACATATATATATATATATATATATATATATATATATGTATATATATAGATGGTGATAACGCCACGGATCCATTTCTGATTATTGTGTGTGAAATAAATAAAAAATATTTTAAGTCTAGTTTCAAAAAAATACTTAAAATAAAGGACCGCAGCTGAAAATACTTAAAACTGTCTGAGTAACAAATCCGGTACTGCTAATAAATTTGTAATGTAACGTATTCAATATTAAAAGATGGACGCTGCATAGATTTTACTCGTATAAATTGCTTACAACGGTTACTAATAATTAAAGTTATTCTTTGTTTATTAAATGCAAAATTTTTGAACTAAAACTTCTTTAGGTGAGAGGAAAAAAAGGATTGTCGTTACGATTTTTATAACGGAAACGATTGTTACGGAAGTGAATAAATAGTTAATTAAAAATTATTTAAACTATTATATTATGAATATTTCAAACAATAAATAAAATAAAAATAGATATTTATAAAATAAGCTATGGGATCATATCAAATTAATATTGTTAAAAAAATATGTGCTTATAATTTTTTATACATTATATATATTTTAATACATTTAAAACAAAATGAAGTTTACTACATTTTACATATTTTAATACATAAATATTAACAAATAAAATAGCTCGACAGTTCTATGGATCAATAAAAACACGGATAATCTGTCTGTCTCCATACCGATGGTGTGATAGTGATAATTCTTTCTACCACCGTATGTATTGGGACTCGATATGCCATTCTCTTCAACGTTAAGTACCTTTAATAACATATTTATCCAGATCGTTTTTGCAAAATTTTTAATTGCTGACCAAATTTTACCAAACTATCAAGAAAATATCTGAAGGCGACTAAAGTTTGAAAATTATATCTAAAATTCTTACTCCTAATGCACGTTCGAGTGGAGTCATCACAGGTTAAGCCATGACTACATCTACCAATAGTAGTACCAGAGCCTGCCCCGCCTAAACTGCATGGTTGACCCAGACCTGAAATCAAATAAGGTCCATTAGAACTAAATAACGCGAGATTTAATATATTTTTCAATATATTGTTTCAATTTTCATGGCGATCAGTATAGATCATTTGTTACAGTGTAACAGTAAAAGCGCAGTGCAGTGCCATCTAGTGGCGAGTTACAGCAAAATGAATTATATCAACTTCATATAAAAACACTTATATATATCAACATTTCAGTATAATGGATAAAAGTTCGAATATTTGTGATTATGAACAAACAAACATTTATATTTTTTTATATATTAATTAAAGTTAAATAAAATATAAATTTGTTCTTACCGTATAATGGCAGACAGTGTGTACAACAATTGCAAATAGTTGGTGAGGGTAGATATATCCCTGAATGAGTCGCGTTGTTGTACTGACAGTCTGGTGCTTGCATAGGACATTCATGGTCAATTACATAGTTCTACAAAAAAAATAACAATAAAAGGACTTACACTGATTTGAAATATCCTAAAAATAATATTTCAACTTTAAAATAAATTTGTTTTAAAAATATGGAAAAATTCTTTATGTATAAATAAACTGTTAATTTAACTTCTTGTGGGCTAGTGGCTACTATGTACAGCTAAAAGATCCGAAGGTCGTGAGTTCGAGTCCAAGGTTTAGGCCAAGTTTAGTTTGAGTGTCTTTGTGTTTAGAAAATCTCATTAAATATTTTACAGGCTGAAAATAATTAATTATACCTACTAAATAGCTCACACTCAGTATGTTCCTATTAAAATACCTATTATTTATTAAGATACCTATCTAAATGACGACAATGTTGCATTTTTCTACTATGACTATATGACTATATATGATATAGTATATATATATATATATATATATATATATATATATATATATACTTATGACTCGCATTCGAAAGGTCGTAAACTGAAAAATTGTTGAATTCAAATTATAAAACTAATTTCTTTGTATCAAGATATTTTTATTTAAGTAAATCCATATAAAACTTACTGCACAAAAACCACTTTCACATATAATATCACCATTAACACAAATATAACAAAATGTTAAACAAAGGAGAAACAAAACATGTTTCGCGGCCATATTTAAGTGCGCACTGATTTGGCTGAGTTGCTTATCACTTTTATAATTATCTTTGAGATAATCAATAAATGATACACAATTTATAAGAATTGTATTAATTGAGAAAGATAAAAGTTAAAGTGTCGGGAAACTTGTAGAACATTAAAGTCGTATATCGAGTGTCGTTATTTATACTAATATTATAAAGAGGTAAAGTTTGTGAGTTTGTGACGTTGTAGGGGGTAATCTCTGGATCTACTGACTCGATTTGGATGAGATTTGGTAAGAAGATAGTTTGAGACCCTGGGAAGGACATAGGATAGTTTTTATCCCGGAAATCATTCCTTAAGAAGGTGAAAACGGGGATAAAAGTTTAAATGGAGAATCAACCTAGGGACGAACCCGAGTGAAGCGAGAGTGAGTCGCTAGTTTGTTGTAAAGAATAAGCGATATTATTGTTGTGTTTTCAAATAAATTGTATTTTAAATCGTTGTCGTTATACCTAAGTAGTTTCTGCGATGTGGAATATGCTTTATGCACGCTATATATAATCGTACATAGACTAAGCTAAAACTAGACGTCGTCTCAATGCTTGTTTGTCCAAACAACAAAGAGTTTTAATAAACAATTGGGTATAAAAAAAAAAGAAAGACAATGTTGACATTTAAATATTAATTCTATTCATATAAAACACATAAATATTTTTTTTAAAAGCCGAAAAAATGTATTTTATTTATATTTCTATATAAATCTTAGAAACTAAGCCTTTTTTTTAAATAGAAGAAAAACTCTATTGTAAGGTACATACAACGAGTATTGGTGGTTTAAACAAGTAAGCACTAAGGCGATGTATATAAAGTCTAAACTCTAGAGTCTATGACCATAAAAAAAGAAAAAAAAATGAGAGTTTCTAGAATTTTAAAAGCAAAAGGCACCCGAGCAAAGGGAGAGTGACCCATCCATCTCTCTACACCAGTTAAAATTTTAAAACCTTTTCAAAATTTAAACAACATTTTATAAAATTGGGAAACAAACAAAACGATTAGTTGATTGACTTCTGCAATACAGTTTGCATGAACACAGGAGCTGTATATTTTCCCTCGCTTTTGGATAATCGCCATCTATCGTCAGTAGGAGCGTTATAATTTTTTTTAATACAGAAATGGTAAAAAAACAATATAAATATACGTAAGTATTAAAATAAATATCAAACTGATATTACAACAAACTTTATTAACTACAACTTATTTAAGTATAGTTTTAGCATGATCCTTTTAAAGTTTTTAATGAATATTTTGAAAATCGTCTAAAAATATAAATAGAATTGTTTACTGGCACGCTTTGACGCCATTAACAATAAAAATTGAATTTAATGAAAATATTTATAGATAACTAGCGACTCACCATCCCTACGCTCGGGTTCATCCCTTGGTACGTTTTAAGGGATAGTATAGATTTCTCAGAGATGAGATACTTTTCTGCAGTAAAAGGTATCCTAAATGTTGACCCGGATAGTCAGCTATCATCACACTAAATTTCATCAAAATCTATCCAGTGGTTTTCTCGTGATGCATTCCCAGTCAGACAGACAGAAATTCTAAAAATTATAGTTTGGGCCTCTGTATCGATAATAATGACTCTTTCAATAAGATTTTACCAAAAATATTTAATGTACAGATTTGACTCAATAAAAAAATTAATATATGTATAGATAATTACATTTTTAATATCCGATAAATTATTGTCTAATATTTTAAATATATTGTTCATTGTAAACACTAATTAGTTATAGACTGATATGGAGGGTTGGCCCTTGACACCAAGAGAGGAAATGATGTCTGTTTTTGTCACTAGATGGCGCGATTTTTATTTCATACAAATCTGTACATAAATTAACGTTACCATAATGACATACATAATAACAAAAGCGGAGATAAGTAAAATAAATTTGGTTATACTTATATGTATCTTTTTACAAGATATTTATTAACGTGCAATGCTCATATGTAAGTAAGTTGTCCAATTCAATATTTGCCAAAAACCAATTTTCGACCACTTTCTGGTGTCCAATTGGGCTATTTGTTATATTTATGTAGTTTCGGTGATATAATATTATGGTACCATCCAGGCTTATGAGACGCTGGAGCCGGAATGAGGGACTAGAACGTGTTGATGGCGTATGGATAGTATAATTTATTAACAGTACGTTCCATTACATATGATGACGAAGTTCCGAAGATTGAGCTGGAAGAACTTGTTTTAGACATATTCTTGTTACTTTAATTTGGTTTGATATAAATAAAAAAGAAACAAAAATACCACAGATTACATAAATCTATACTAGTACAGATGCCTCGTCCCATACAAAGAAATTGGACAGCGCTAATTCGGGTTATTCTTCGGGTTATTTTTGTTTGCTTGAATACATCATAGATGTCGTTATATCACAAATAGTTAAACTGTTTAGTTTTATACATACATATTATGTGCAAACTAAAGTATAGTAAATATTGTACAATTCATCCTGCATTCGAATAACAATACCTAATTAAGTTTAATGATTATGGTACTTTTAGTAAAAAAAAAACTCTTTTAGATAATTAATTATTATTTTATTAAAAAAGAATTGTGAAAATACAGTCATTACAAACTGAGAATATCTTTAAAATAATTTGCGTTGTTTTTGTTTATAAATCATGTATAACTGAGCAATAATGTTAGTAATTAGTATATAATACTTTTATATAACTATATAAAAAACAAAAATATTTTTTTTACCAGTAACTACTTCTAAAAATTCCACCCTTAATTTTTTTTCGTATTTTAACTTCAATGTCTAGGCACAAATTGTCTTCAATATCTCATCTAACTGCTTGGCTACATGGTAACAATACACTTCGTAGAATGCCTAAAGAGAATGACAAATTATAAAGGTTCCGTATGATCTCTATAAAAATCCCATAATATATAACCCATAAAAAGCCATAATAGGCAATGGTAGCCCAGTGCTAACGCGATCGAACGGGAAACTGAGAACTGAGAGAAACGGGTTCAAATCCCGGGTCTCTCACCTCTGGGTATTTTCATATGCGAATCATTTCATGATGACTACATGATTACCATTTGCCTTACAGTGAAGGAAAGCATCGTAAAGAAACCTGCATGTCTGAGAAAACCTAGCAAATTTTCGAAAGATATGTGAAGTCCGCCAAACTTAAAAATACAAAAAGCCATAACCAAAATGTAGTACATAAAACTAATAGATAGGACGAAATATTATACAAGTGCTTCGTTCTCCTAAAATAGATTAAAATGAAATGTCACCTAGATCCTCAGCAACACTTGTTATCGGTTGTTATCTGATAGCGATATCATAGACGTTAGGTAACTGTTTGAGTTAGGCCGATGGAATATTTCTGAGATGAGAGGCATCCATTCTTTACAGATTTACGCTACAGTTGTTAAAGAACTACATTTATTTTCATAAAGTATAAAAATAATACAGCGTTCACGTATTTTTTCAGAGGACAAAATAGCACACTTCAAAAAAGTAAAAGTTTTTTTTATTATCTGTGTAATATGTTTTTATTTTTTAAAGTTAATGTGAGATTTTCTATTATGCCCTGAGTTTAAATGAGATTTAACGAGATTTTATTGAACCCGTTCTTCCTCATTTTGAGCTCACGTAATAGATGCCCCCTTTTGCCCACAATTTTAACAAAATTAGTATAAGTGTGTTATTATTTGGAACAGCCTTCCTCAAAGTGGATACTCGAACCTCTAGAGCTAGGACAAACTTTCGAAGTGTAATGACTGAGTTTCGTTAATATATTTATATAATAACATAAATATAATCGTTAAAAATAATAATAGGTGCGATGCAACTATTAAGTATATTATATAAGAAATAATCATTTTTATATCCCAAATATCTTAAAGTTCTGCAGTATTGAGAATATCAATTCCTTACAACAAATTAAATAAACCACTATATAATCCAATCAATGATACTTTTTGTATAAATCCCTATAGTAGCTATTTGAAAAATATGAATAGGGCTGCGTGCGGCTAAAAGTTTGACTGATTAATGTAATATTTTGCTCAGAACATAAGCTACTTATAGTCTAAGAGTCACCAAAAATAATATTTTATTGTTTTTTTTTAATAATAAAAAAAACAATAAAATATTATTTTTGGTGACAACTCCCTTGGGTCGTGTTTGTTTATGTTTTATAGTTTAAAAAATATATTTCACCTGGAAAAAGCGTGAGGGCTCTACCACATAGATCGGGATCTCCTACTATTATGGTACAATGGATACTAAAAAAACTCGTATGACATAAGTTTTTGAAGTAGAAGATGACCTGTCTTGGTGGTGTAGTGGCTAGCATGTGCGGCTGCACACCCGGACGTCCGGGGTCGAGTCCCGGGTTGGGCCAACTTTAGTTATTGAGTCTTTCTTTATAGTAAGCCTCAGTAACAGCCCGGAGCTGCGAAGTTGCCGGTGTTTCACCCCCGTGCGTCGGAGAGCACGTAAAGCCGTCGGTTCGGCGCCTTAACTCTCACTGGTCGTGTCGAGTGGTCGTCCCACCAGAGTATGAGAGTGACAAGAATAGAGAGTGCACTTGTGTCTGCGCGTACACTTGTGCACTATAATATCTCCTGCGCAGTTAGCTAGTCTCAATGAGATTGGCCGCCGCGGCCGGAATCGATCATCAGAACATCATTAAATGACCATAGAGGCTTGAACAAAGCAGGGGCACATAATTACTATTGAAAACAACATATTTTCGTGATACACTTATTTATCTATGTTTAAATAAATTCTATAAGAGACATTATCTCCAGTTTGTTCAAACAAATCTTCATAATTAAACAAAAGATACGAAGCTTAAGTTATTTGTGCAGGTGTATCTTATGATGTAAGGTAATAGATTGCGCTCGTAGCTCCATTAAAAATATACTATTTATAGATAGATACCCTACCGGTTATCCCCATAACTAATTTCGACCTATAAATT